ACTCTATCCTAGCAAAACCAGGACAGTGTGTTTCTGCAGGGCAGTGCTTCCAAGATCACAGAACTATTTGGGTGGGAAAGGAGCTTAGGAGCTCTCTAGTCTGAGCTCCTTCTGTGAGCAGGACCAGCTTGGAGGTCAGGAGCAGGCTGACCTCACACTGGAGAAGCTTTTCCAGTGGGAGCCTCTCTTGTTTCAGTTTTTGTGTCTTGTCCTCCCACTGTGCACTGCTGGGAGCAGCCTGGCTTCCTCTTTTTGATGACGCCCTCGTAGGTGGTAGTGGGGCTGCTGTTAGGCCTTCCCAAAGCTGTCTCTGCTCCAGGCTGAGCCAGCCCTGTTCCTTCAGCCTCTTCCCACAGCGCAGGTGCTCCAGTCCCAGCTGGCTTGGTGGCCTTTGGATAAACTCACTCTGGTTTGTCAGTGTCCTCCCTGGACTAGGAGAGCCCGTATCTTGGTGTGGTCCAGTGGGTGCTGGCCAGTGGAGGATGATAGCTTCCCTTGGTCAGTTGGCTGGGCTCCTGTTAACACAACCCAGGGTGCTGCTGGCCCTCTCTGCTGCCAGGGCACACTGCTGGCTCTTCATCTTGCTGACTGACGCAAGCGCCGAGTCCTTTTCAGCAGAGAGGCCTGTGTTGCTGCCAGGGGTTTCCTTCCCAGGCGCAGGACTCCATGTTTGTCCCTTTGAGCTGCATGAAGCTGTTGTTGGCCCTTTCCTCCAGCCTGTCTAGGTCTCTCTGAATGGCAGCCCTGCCCTTGAGTGTTTCAGCTGCTCCTCCCACTTTGATGTCATATAAAAACTTGATGAGCATGCACCCGTGGTCCATGCTGGGATGTGCCTTGTTTACTGTCTGTATCAGTGAGCTGGAGGAGAAGTACTAATGCCTTCACTTTGATGTGTGTCCTATTCTTTCTTGCACCCTTTCTTGCCTCTCCTATTATTAACTTGGAGAGCTTGCGTCATCCTGCCTATTGCTTTTGTATACTGGAGGAAAATATTTTGTGTTCTTATTTTCTTTAGAAACATTAAGCAACTAAAAGAAAAAAGACATAGGAGTGGGAAAACCAGTATCTGTTGATCACTTAACTGATGACCCCTGAGAAGGCTGGAATGAGGCGAGATGGTCCTCTCCTTCACTTACTGTTGCCCCAATAGCTTGCTGCTTCATACCTCCTCACTTCCCTTTGGCCAGTCTTCAGAGCCTTTCTAAAACTGAACTGTATCTTACTGGGAATTAAGTCCTTAATCAGTAAACTTGACCCTTTTATTGCGTATTTTATTATTTGAATAGTAATAAAAGGCTGTTATCTTTATGAAAGTTGGAAATAGATCATTCTTTACAAAACAAAGCAGGAAAATTACTTAATTTTCAAAATATGGAAAAGCATGTGTGCTGCAGGTATCTTAGAAAAGGTCATATTTGTCTGTTAAAAAAAAAAAAGGATATATTTCGGCAAGAAAATTCTAAAACAAATAAGATTTTGGAGACACCAAGATCTAGAAACTAAAACTATTTTTCTACTTCTGTCCCTCTCTGTATGGATTTCCATCTATATATTTAAAATTCTGTATCTTTAATCCCTCTATGTAAAGTTAGAAAATCCTTTATAACATTACACGTGTTTCCAGATGGGCTGAAGTACAGCAGTAGCATTACTTCATCCTGTTTGCAACTGTCATCATGGAACTGGAAAATGAACTTTTGTTTTTTCTTGAAACTAGGATTGCTGCGATTGCATATCAGTATTAAGATAATTTCTTTACTGATGTTTACTTTGAGAATGCTAACTCTTCTGCCATCCATACTGTTGTTTTGATTTTTCAGCATATTAATTTCAACACATTTAATCATGTTTTAACTTTACCACAGGCTTGATTTTTATTTTCACTTTTTCCAAATCAAGGCAGTGTACCTGCTTGCGTGTTTATTGTATCAGTAGAGTCCTCACTCTTTAGTTTTCTGTCTATCAAGTATTTAAAGGCTTGATCAGATTGGAGACAAGTTATCAAGAAAGTAGTGTGATGCTAGTTTTCTACTTCTGAAACTGTTCAGATTGTAATTTCTAGTGTTTTCCTATTGGCTATAGAGACCTAATTTAACATCACAGTGAGTGATACAAGGGCAGAGTTTAGTTTGGTTTGTGTTGAGTGTTCATGAGAGGAAGTGGTTTAAAATCCTGGCCTTTGCTTCTGGTGTCTGCTTGTTCTTTGATGCATGGAGAGTCTTGGATAAAAGCTTTTGTTGGAGTGTTGCTCTGAAGATTATATAATTGCTTGTCAGCTTGTTCACTTCATTACTCTTGTGGAGGAAAAATACTTTATTCCAGCAAGTAGAAGAGAGGCCTTTGCATAGGATATGTACCATGCTTTATTAAATACAGTCTATAGACACTGATTTTTCTTTCCACCCTCTATTTCAGACTCCGGGTAGAGGTGGGTCTCAGAGCTCAGATTCAGATTCATCTGCCACACCGGGAAATGCCGTGGATGTGAACAACGAAGGCTCCTCCGAGGTACTGTGCACCGTAGGTGGGACTGGAGTCTTAAACCTTGGGTACTTTTCCTCTGATGCAAGAAGTTGTTGGGAGTAACTTTTGATGCCCTGCCTAAATAACAGCTGTATTAAAGAAATACAGAATAATAAAGAATTGATTGTCAATTAAATAAAAAAAGGAAGGCTAGGCCTTATTATTTATATGAAACTGTTAGTTAGGTTTATCTATCTAAATGGTCACAAGCAATCCTTCCTGTAATCGTAGAGATAAATTATTATAATTAAAAGCAATGAGACATAATCTTAAGACTCCTTGTTAGGCAAACATTTATGAAAGATCCGAAAAACAAGGCTTAACATTTTATCACACTTGTTCTCCCTTTTCTATACTCCCTTGCTTCTGCTAAGCTATAATGTATGCTGGAAAACTCCTCCTCCTTGTGAAATATCAAATATGCTGGTTTGTGTTTGGTGTTGGTGTATAAATCTACCACTTGTAAATCCTATCCATTTTTAATGTGCTGTATGCCATATTTAACCAGCAGAAAAAGTTGTTATTCTTGCTTCAATCCCATATTACAATGTCTTTGGATTTACAGTGTTGTCAAATATTAACTCTGAAAAATGCAAACTGACTTCACTGGCTGTTGAAGCTAGTTTGTGCTAATGTAGCCTGATTACCTAGCTTGAAAATGTTTCAAGCTTAGCATACAAATGCAGTGCAAGGTTAATTGCTCCTATTACAGCATTAAAGGGAGCAAAGTGCCTTTTCTTACACTGAGTGAAGTGTATGATGATTCAAATACTCCTATGTCTGCTCTGATAAGAGATGAGGAACTTTTACTGTGCTGTTTAAAATCCTAATTGCCTTCCATCTGTGCATCTGCTTATTTCTTGAAGTGTTATTACAGTCAGTGTAATCAGACATTCCTTAATATTTTGCTGCATGTTATATGTCATGCGTTTGTAAATCCAAATCTGTTTTGTATGCATATTTACACTGTCCCTGAAGCAAATAAATATTCTTAAATTGCAGACTAAAATCTCAATACTTTTAAGGCATAAAGATGTGCAATGAGACAATTGCTTTATTCCAAAGTTTGGCTAAAATTGCTCAATTCGTGAGTGCAGTATCACTGACTGTACTGCTGATGGGTGTCACAAGGTACCTCAATACTAATGTGGTATTGACATAGGACAAGCTTTCAAAGTGGTGGTGTGCCTGCAGTATTGCACCATTGTCTTTTCTTGCTACTGAGTCAAGACTGGGTCAGACACAGACTACCGTGTCACTTTCAGTTGATACTATATAACTTGAAAAAGTATCTTTTAGTTGTCAATAATTCCACCATCTGTTGCCTTAGTTGAGAGTTCTTAGCATGTAATTTCAAAATCTGTTTGAAACTGAGCTCCAAAGCTGGTGATGGGTTCTTACTCTCCTGAGATGCATGCATTACAGCATGCAACTTAAGCCTTTCTGTTGGTCTTCCTTTTCCTGTGCAGCTGGCCTGAGGTGTTGTCTTTCTGAGAACTTCTCTCCAAGAACACTGTGTTTGCAGAATGTTTGCTCTCTGTTTTATCATTATATTCCCACCTGGTTCTCCAGTATTACGTCAAGTCAGAAATCCAGTTGACTTATTTTCACTCCAGTTTCTTGGCTAGACTTTCTAATTCATATTTTTGCAAGACTCAAATGGAGAATCATTATTAAATCTGTACAGGTTCTCACGTTTCCTACCTCCTCAAGCCTGGTTGAAATAAATCCTGATTTTTGAGAATTGTAGTATGATACAAAAGGAGTGTGGAAGTCTGAATTCAAACTGTTCCTTGCTCAAGGAGAGTTGAAAATATGTTCTAGTCCTGTCTATGGCCATGTCAGCACTTCAGATCATACACAGACCTGTAATCAAGTCTAGATGCATCTTTCATTCACTGTACAATCAGTCCAAGGAGGAAACGTTTGAGCCTATCTTACCTTTTTAGCTTAGGTCCCAGTGCAACTCCATCTGCAGTAGAGGGTTGCTAAATACTCTGTGCTTGCAGTGAGTCCACCAGCATGCCTATGCTTTCATTAGTGTAATGAGGCTGCATTAGCTAGACAGGTTTGCCACAGACATCCGTTTTGGAAGAGGCCTTAACCTTTCCCTGTGTGCACAGGGGTCTGTGTTCAGTCTGTTCTGCCTGCCTCCGTGGTGCTCTGCCGCAGGGGTGCCTCCAGCCAGCCGTGTGGACAGAGGCCCACAGCACTTTACTCTCTACCCTGCTTTTTCCAGGTGTTTGAGCATGTAGCGTGTCTTGAAGATGTAAATCCATTGTTCTTCAGAAAACAATTTAACTTTTGGCTTTGGTAAATCTTTGGTGACCATGCTGAGTTTTTTCCTGAATTCTGCCAAGGAAGGGGCATATTTTTCCCTGCATGAGCATGCCAGCCAGGCGTGCGGCTGTGCTGGTGCCTAGGCCTCTCCTGCTGCCAAAACCTTGCTTATCAATTTACAGGGGTATTTCTGCAGTCTCACTGCACCACCCTTGTCTCTCTCTCTGAAACATCTGAACACCCTTACGGGAAACTGTGTGGTGAATCTGATGTGATGCCTTGTAAGGGTCCATTCACAATTTGTCATGCATCTTACTCCTCTGTCACATGAAGAGGGTACCAAGAGTGTCTAGAAAACACAGAGTAGTATACAGCATGGTGCTAGCATTTGAAGTGTGTTTTGGATTTTTTTATTTTCATGTCCTTAATAACTGTTCCTTCTTGCCTTCTCCATGGTATTGATATGTGGTTTGCAAAAATTCTTTCCAAAAGGAAAACAGACTTTGGTCGTTGTAGAGAACTTTCAGCATAAGAATTTGAACAGCGCTTGATTCCAAATCTGCTTTTTTGTCTTTATTGGTTTCTTAAAAACAAATACACATTTCACAGGGCTTCATCTGTCCACTGTGCATGAAAGTGTGTGTAACTCCCACTGATCTGTCTGAACATTACCAGAATGAGCACACTGGGACAGGAGGAAGACAGGAGCTTCGTGACCTCCCAGCTGTTACTGTGGGTCTTGTTTATTTTGTTTCAATAGCTTTGGTAATGGGCTGCGTTAAATAAACATACATCCTTTCTCGTGACTTGGGTGTCAGCTTTTTAAATTTTTCTTTTGATTCCTTGCTGAAAAATAATTTGATCTCCTATGCATGATTCCAAAGTATTGCATTCAGCTGAAGAATTAATCTATGTCTAGCTTTCTGGTTTGCAGTTGTCTCTCACATGAAACTTTTGCTTGGTTTTCTTGTAAATCAGACTACTACATTATTTAATTTACTTCACTTCAGTCTCAGTGTAGTGATAAATGGAGTATTGGATCCGGTACATCCTTTGTGAAAAAAAAATGTTTCGAGCCATTTTAGCCAACTATTTTTAAAGCAGATTTCTAGTGGGAGATAGGTGCCTTGGGTAAAAGATAGAACAGAGGGCAGGAGTATAAAAAAATTGGAAGCTTCTCTTCTTGAACATGTTTAAGAGCTTTACATATTGCAGCATTGTTATATAAATAATTATAAAACCAGTTTTTTTAATATAGAATTTTATTGCGATTTTTTTATGCCCCCAAGAAAATGCAAAGGCTGTTTCAGTTAAGACATTATAAATAGTGGTGCATTTCTAAATTCTTCTGGTTGTGGAATTCTTCTCAATTGGAAGAATTTAGATTCTGTAAGGTAACAGCCTCCAGCTGCACAAGGGTATCTGAATTTTTTTCTGCTGTGAGCCTTCAGAGAGTAGATTTGACTTCTGGGGTCAGGCAGCTTGCCATGACTAAGTTGGTTTGTATGGAGGTGAAGTTTTGCCTTCTTTCTGCCAGTATTACTTTTGATGAGTTTTGGAATCAAAGTGTTTATTCTAGGCTGTGTGAGTGATGTGATTTTATTGTGTTTGCTCTATGCATTTGCTAAGTAGTGCTTTTTTTCCTAGCAGTTGGTGGTGTCAGCTAGGTGTTGATGGAGTTGATGGTGGGTTCTTGCCCCCTTTGAGTCTTTGTTTTTGCATCATCAGTTACTTGTCAGTACTTTTTACTTGTCAATAGCTGATTACAACTTTTTAACTTGATAAAACTTGTGTATTAGTGTAGCACATGAAATGCAAATTCAGTTAGTTCTAGCTGTTGCTGTTTCCTGTTGCTAAAGCTGTGTTGCTTGGTACAGTCATTCAGTATCTGGAAGAGGTGAGAAACAAAGAATGCTAATATATATATAGGTTTTTTTTCCAATTTGATCTTCTATTATATCGGTGTGCATAGAAGCATTGAAAAAGTGGGGAAATCTGTTAATCATCATCAGTACTAATATGTGAAGTTTAAAATACTTGACTACTGAGAAGCTGATGGTTTCCATTTGTTGATGGAAATTTATAGTTTATATTTGCAACAAGCAAACTGTGATCCTGAAGCAGCAACACAACCAAGTTGTCGAGCTTTGTTCCATCTTTGCCATTCCTGAGTCAGCCTTGTAAGAATAATATAATGTGTTACCAATGTCATCTAATGTAGCAGACATACAAACCCTTGGCGAGTTTGCCTTACTTAAGCTGGTGTTTGGCTTTCTGTTGCTTGCAGATACTACTGTGAAAAGTTAAAATACATTTTGTTGGAAATAGTGATGAAGAAGCTCACGAGTTCAGTTTTTTTGCCAGTGCGTTCTCCTCAAACATGGAGATAGGACATGTTGCAAGGACAGTGTTTGGTCACACTTTGTGAAACCTGAAGAATTTTCACTTGATTGACAAAAGTATTAGTACCTTGCTTATTCTGCCTATAGCTTTCTTCACTAACCTGTCTTCCACTGATACACTCTCCCAACTGATTAAAGTTTTAGTAAGTCACATCATTTGCCCCTCTATTCTTCTTGCCCTTCCCTCCTCTCTGTCCTCCAAGCAGTGAGACTCGGTCTTGTTCTTCAGTCACAGGCGTCCGCTTCTGCATTCCCCACGGGTGTGTGATAATCCTGTTGTGGGAAAGGATCCTCACCACTCACCTACATCCTTATTTATGATCTTCCTCTTAAAAAAGCTCTCTGTGCAGCCCTCAGTTTCAGGGAGCTGAGAGAGCTGGGACTCTTCAGCCTGGAGAAGAGAAGACAGAGAGGGAATCTTATCAATGTCTATAAACACCTGAAGTGCAGGGGCCAAATGGGTGGGGCTGGGCTTTTTTCAGTAGTACCCAGTGACAGGACAAGGGGCAATGGACACAAACTGGAACACCAAAAGTTCCAGACAAACTTAAGGAAAAACGTCTTTACAGTGAGGGTGCCAGAGCACTGGGACAGGCTGCCCAGGGAGGTTGTGGAGTCTCCATCTCTGGAGATGTTCAAAACCCATCTGGATGCTTTCCTGTGCAACTTGCTCTAGGTGAACCTGCTTTAGCAGGGGGATTGGACTAGATGATCTCCTGAGGTCCCTTCCAACCCCCACCATTCTGTGATTCTGTGATTTTTCAAACTAGGGATTGCACTGTGTGATAACTGGTGAAAATGACAGTGAAATACTTTCCCCTGCCCCTCAAGCACTGATGAAGCCTTACCTTAAAAGACAAAGGCTTATTCAGCTGCAGGAGCAACCACCAAAATGTTGTCATCTCTGTCCATATAGCCAGCTCAGCCAAACAAATGCCATATGGAAGTCACACGCATCGCCACGTTCCCAAACAGGGACATTGCTCCCTAACTTTAATATATACAGCGGTGTCACTAACAAAAGCTGTGTGGCTTCTGTTTTGTTTTCTTTTTCCTAAAGGAATGATACATTTCTAAACTGTCCAGCATTTCCTGCTGTCTCTGTTGGATGTTCAGGACATCTAAACAGTGAGTCAGTTAGAGGCTTAGTTTCAGACTTCCCTTCCTGGTTTTTCCTAAGGCATCCAAAAAACCCACTGTATGATACTCCTGCAATGTTTAGAATATAGTATCTGTGAATATTTATTGTCTTATCTACTATTAGGCTAAATCTAAGGCAATTTTTAAACAGTTCTTTTGAGTAGTCTTTGTAACTTTCCAGATGTTTAGTAAATATGTATCTCAGCTAATATAAGCAAGATAATACCTTGATGTTTTCTGAGTGGATTTTTCATAACAGGATTGCCAAGAGTGTAAACTGGCCTACTGCTTGTGCAAAAATGTGTGAGTTTTTGTCTTTCATTGGAAAGACCTTATGCTTTACTGTGTGTTTTTTCCTACTTGCCTCTTATTGTAGATGCATTTGATTGCATCTTCTGTTTTTATGGATACCCTTGGAATGTTTTGGACTGGTTTTGCACAGAAGGTCATGTCAGTGCTTTAATGCTGATATTTTATTCTTTTTGGCTGCTCTTTCAGTTGCTTCTCAAATTAGGTTGTGGTGGCTGTTTTCACCTCAGCAGTATGTGCCTGCTTTGCACAGGAACAAAAACCGTTGGTTGAGCTGCACTAGTACATGAATTTGCTGCAACATCTGAACAATACTAAGAGAATGAAGAATTAGAGATACTGGTTTGATTTGACTTGGCCGCGTGATACAACTTTTCTTTAAGAAATAGAGAATCCACTGGACTAGAATTTCTAATTCGTGACAAAATTGTAGTCTTGTAGGTTGTGACAGAATTGTATTCTTACTCCTCAATAGTAATAAAAACAGAAGAGAACTGAACTGGAAATTTTGTGGGTTCTAGTCTTCCCAGGAAGAATCCAGCTTGTTTTCTGGGAAGACATCAAGTTTGAAGTCTGGTATAAAATAAACTGTAACGAGACACCTTTTTTTCGTTTTTGTTCAGAAAGTTAAATACCTACTTGTAAAATTGAAATGGACTGTGGGTCTTAATTGTATCAAGCATGACCTTTTAACCTACTTTTCTAATGACTGAATATAGATGTTATCTGAGGAAGCCACTGTCATCTTACTGTTTATGTAAACACAGAGGAAAGGGCTTTTTCTGGTGGAAGGCATGGAAAGAATGCCAACTATATTTTCCTTTTAACAATATATAAAGGGAGTGACCTAATTTATTTATTCTTTAACTTAAAATATCTCATGATTTTTTTTTTTATCGGTATGAGACTTCTGAAATAAATTATGAAATGTGGTCTTGCTCTTGCTGTCTAGGCAGACAGTTTAATCTTCCTCTGAGAACTTCCTGAGGATTCAGTTAATTGCTTTGATATATATTTGGGAAATAAAACGTATAAGCTACTTGCTACATCTTTCAGGTCTACAATATCAGTACGTACGTTTTCTGTCCGTTTCTGTTCTGTCCATTTCTGTTCTGTATGTTTCTGTTCCACGTTTCTGTCCTCTGTCCCTAAGTATATAGAGTGCCTCATCTGTCATGTAAAAAGTTTCAGCCTCTAAATCACTATGTAACTGGAGAATATCTGAGTTTTAGTTTAGACTTATTATTTAAATGCTGGTGAAGATGTGTATCTTGTACCAGGAGGGATGGTTGTGGAGGTTCACCTGCAGTGGAAAAAACGTGAATGGTGAATTTAGAATTTTTCCAAATATTCATGACACACAAAACCTAAAATCAACTCCAGAAAAGTGTTTATGCCTCTGAGATGTAAGCATGCCCTACAGCTCTTGAACTTTCAGTTTTTAAACATGCTGGACTTTATTCACATCATACAGCTTATCATGCCAATATGGTTGTGAAGGAGTTGTTAAATTAAGTCTGGATTCTGAGACATGGGCAAACATAGGTCATGGCTGGAAGATGTTACAGCTCTGGGCTTGAATCACAGCTACTGCTTTTTGTTCATGCAGCTCAAAGGAAACAACAGGCTGTAGGCTTGAGTGCTGGCCCAGTTTTCTGGAAGGTCAAAGATGAAGCCCAGAAATTCAAATGTTGTTCATGTGAATGCTAACCATGTTAAAGTGCATAATGGATTAGGCTAAGCTGTCCTATGGCATGTGTATGGTGGAATAGTCACTAATCTTTTCTGTATGGTAAAAGTATAAATTATACTGAAATTCTGTGGGTGGGTTTTTTTGTTTGTTTTTGTTCACCACAGTACTTAAATATTTTCCAAAAAGAG